ACCCTGTTTGTGCAGATTAAATCCGTGCAGGCTCCGTCTTCCTTAGCACAAAGCAGGTTTTAGGAGAGTTTGGAGGCTTTTGGGTCTGAAATGAGGGGGAATGTCTGTCTTTAGCTCTGGGAAGAGTTTTACCCTGGCAGAAGCTGGCACTGAGAAGAATGTGTTGACTGAGCACATTTCACCAGAGTTGAGGTGGCTCTGGGAGCAGCTGAGGGGGTGGAGGCACTGCTTGTTCTTAAGGCTTGTGGGAGAGTTTATGGCATGAGCCTGTCCTGTGTCAGACTCCATTTCTGGCTCTGTGGGTGACACCAAAATAGGATTTGAAAATTCAACAGAAAACAAAAAAACCAAAGTTTCTGTGCAAAGGCTGCGAGTTCCTCGCTGTTTGCAGCAGAGAACTTTAAAATAAACTTAAAAATTGCAGCTGCCAAAGGTTGTGGAGCCACTTAAACTCTCAAWCACCTCTGCTGATGCAGGAATTGTGCAGCTGAGGCTTCTGGTTTGTTTTCAGCAGGGCTTCAGGCAACTGAGGATCCTGGTGGAGAACCGTGGGCGCGTCAATTATGGGCTGACCCTGAACGAGCAGAGGAAAGGTGGGTTTGCTTCTGTGCTCCCAAAGACTTGAAATGCTGTAGAACTCTCTGTGTGCTTTGCAYAGAGCCAGCTGAGGGCCCAGTCCAGCTCTGGTGGTGCTGGGCAGGACTGGGAGTTGGTGGGAAATGTGTTAAAAATGTTATTTCCCTCTGTCTGGAGTGATCAGAAAAGCAGCGGCTGCTCCRGGCCCTGCACAAAGGTTTATTTTATTTTATTTTATTTTAGGGTACAGCTAAACCCAAGGCTATCAGTGCATCTTGCTCTGCTCTGGGTTTCCTAGGTGATGCTCAGCTCCCCTTTCTCTCACTCTATGAGCACATTACTTCACAGGGAGGGAAGGAAAACACCTTTTTTAATCAGTATTTTTCCTCGGGGGGTTGATATTGGAGGATCACACAGTTTAAAAGCTCACACAGTGTCAGGAGGAGGGAATTGCATCCCCTTGAGCAGAATTGACTGAAATGCTCAGGCCTATCACACACAGTGGTKGAGCTGGAAGAGGGTGATTCTGTTTTAGTGGGGAACTATGTGCAAAATCCCTATAAAACAGAATAATGGAGTTGGACACGGGACTGGATTGATTTTATTTTATGCAGAGAAGTTGCATAAAGCCTCAGAACTGCTTAGGCAGCCTCAGGTGCTGTCCTGTGAGTAGGAGGCTGGATTAGGATCCAGGCTTTTCCTGCTGCAGGGAGAGCAACTTTAACAAAAGGGTGCTGAAGGTGAATGACTTATCAAGGAGCSTTATAAATCCTGGGGTGAAAAGCTCTGGAGCAGTGCCTGGCATCGATGCTGGCCCATGTTGTGTTTTGTTGTGCCTTTTAGAGAAGGGTTTGACTGTTTTTTAAAAATCTGTGCATGGTCAGCTCACTCAAAGCCAGCAATCYCATCACCCCTGCTCCCTGCTGGATGGGGTTTGAGGCCCTGGTGAGCTGAGGGAAAGGAGAGGCCAGAGTTCAGTAAYGCTCCCCACTCAGTCTGGATGAGCAATGGGACCATATGGACTCTAATTTCACTGCAGAACGTGGCTGYTTTCCATCTCCTGCTGTTCCACACAGTCAGACAGGAAAATCCATCAGCTTCAGCCGTTTCTCAACTCTTCATTACCCCCATTTCTCTTGCAGGCTTAATTGGTGATGTCTTCTTGAATAAAACCCCCTTGAGAAACTTCAAGATTTACAGTTTGGAGATGAAACCTGCCTTCATGAAAAGGTTGGTGGGATTTTAACTCTTTTTTYYYCYYTTTTTMTCGTTTAAACCACCTGTTTTCCAGCAGTTCAGTGTCTAATAGGGAGCAGCTAAATGAGGCAAGCTGAGGTAACAGTGAGGAGGTGGATTTTTCTTGCACTGAGAAGTTCCTTGCTGATACCTTTGCCTGAAATCATGCAGGAAATGGTGCCAGCTGATCCATACCATTATTTAGGGAAAAATCTAATCCCACTGTGCAGGATTTAAAGATTTCCTTGCAGCCTCTATTAGATCAGGTAGGTAAAAGCCAGGTTTACCCAAGGGGAGGATCCCCACACRCCCACATGTTGGAGAAATTTTGTGTCTTTCTGGAAATTACCAATCTGGCTGATATATTTAGCAATTCAGACTGGCAAGGGATGGATTAATTCTAGAAAGCTACTGATAGTGCATTAACAATCCAGATGGCTCYCTCTCTTTTATGTTGTTTTGCTTGAATTCAGGGAAGGAAATTTAGSAGGGGGATGTTGAGGAGCCTCTGTCAGCACATACAGAATATGTTTAAGGCAGCAGATGCCCTATGGACTCTGGCCACAATCCAGAGACACTCTTTTCAGTGATGTTTTTAATACCAGAAAGCAACTTATGTGCCTCCCCCAAGATATCACAGCTGCCCTGTTTTGTGTAGGAAGGAGAGAGAGGCAATGTTAAACTGAAATGGGTTTTAAAAGGAAAAAAGTCCACATTCTGAAATGTCTAAGGATGATTTTGCTGAGGGGCTACCTGAAGGATTCTTRTTGATGGGGTAGCTCACAGCCTTTTGGGCTGCAGGGTGTCAGAGGAATATTTCCAGCGAGGAGCATTAAAGCCAGCGAGCTGCCATGGCCAAACAAAAGCAGGATTAGTCACCAGTACCCTCAGCTCCTGGCTGCTGACCAGCAGCASCACACACAATCAGCTCCCAGTCCCCTGGGGGAGGAGGGAGAGGAGTGTTGTGAAAGGAACTGTCACAGCTTTCAGTTGAATAATTCAGCAGCAGTCAGGCTGCACTGGATCAATAACTTCCCTGAGTCCAAGAGCTGCAGTTTGTGAGGGTTGGAGAGAACATGTTCTGACAGAAGCTCAAGGCTTCCGTGGCRTTCTACACTCCTGATTTCCTCTTGTGTTTGTGCCCTGCTCCCAAATTGTTGCCACAGGTAAGAGATAATGTCAGCTTTCCCCTAATTACTGCAAACGTGCAGGGATGTGTTTGTGTTCCTCGACAGGAGCAGTGGCAGCAATGTTTGAATCCTGTCAGTTCTGCAGTTTCCTTCAGCAAACCACAGACATTTAAAGCACCCTGGCAGGTCTGAGGGATCCAAYGTGAAGCAGAGCTTTTATCACAGAATCCCAGAATGGTTTGGGTTGGAAGGGACCTTAAAGCTCATCTCATCCATGGGCAGGGACACTTCCACTGTCCCAGGGTGCTCCAAACCCCATCCAGCCTGGCCTTGGACACTKCCAGRGATTCAGGGGCASCCACAGCTTCTCTGGRCACCCTSTGCCAGGGCCTCCCCACCTCACAGGAAATAATTTTTCATGAATATCCAATCCAAACCATCTCTCTTCCACTCTGAATCCTTTCCCCCTTGTCCTGTCACCACMCCTGTGAGGCACAGGAGGCAGTGACAGCCCCAGGTCTCTCCTCTTGTCCCCCAGCTTGGTCCAGGGGGATGTGGATGCTGAAGGCAGAGCAGGTGGCCCCCTCCTCTCCCCTCYCCTCCCYGTGTGACYTKTGCTGTCCCTCTGTTGCAGCCTGCAGCGTGTGTCTGGCTGGAGCACAGTCCCAGATTATTTCGTGGGGCCGGCGTTTTTCCGAGGGAGGCTGTGGATAGAGCACCAGCCACAGGACACCTTCCTCAAGCTACAGGCAAGTCCTGCTTCTTCTTAGCCAACATTTTAAAAAAGCTGCTTAGAGAGACACCTGTGCAACAGTTCTGCAGTCTCCCTCTGCCTCAGGGAATTATTTAGGCTGAGAAATTCTCCTCCAGGTCATTCTGTTCAGTCTGGAGAGGTCCTGATGAGAAAACACGTGTAGTACTGACCCTGCAGAACTGCCATTGACCACCTCAGTCTTTTTTTTATTGGCATACAAATGGTGGTTTCTAGTTGCAGAGGAGTAATGGGCACAGAAAATAAAGGAGGCCCTTGTTTTATCCCTGTGACATGGAAAGAGTCACTTCTTTGTGGCCATGGCATGGAGTTAGCATTCCTGGCATCCTTCTGAGGGAGATTGCTGCTTCTGCACAGGACTTGAGATGAGATTTTATTTTTATTATTTATTATTAAACTTCCTCCTCTGATTTCCCTCCCTCAGAGCCAAGACTTGTGCCCATCCTTATTTTCCTGCTCACTTTCCCATTTATTAGGAAAATTATATTTGTTGTAAATCTGGTCAGCCAGCAGTAATTCAGTATTTCTGTCCCCTGGGAAAGAGGCGAGGGCAGATATTAACTGCTTGGGAAGGAATAAAGTCCTGATTGTTCAAAGGGGTGGAATTTCCTGTACAAGCACAAATCACAAATTGCACATTTTCAAAAATGCTTTATCCTTTTAATTAGTACATTAAGGGTAACTCCTGTTCAACAGGGCTTGTTTAAATGTTCCTGGCTGCAGGGATTTGCACGGGGAAAGCAAGCAGAAAASCTGCAGAAAGTGGCTGGGAAGGATGCAAGTGTGAAAGCAGATTTGGATTCCTGTGGGGAATCCATGAGGCAGCAGAGCTGTGTCAGTAATTCCGTGTTCTGCCTTGGTTCCAGGGCTGGGAAAAAGGAGTGGTGTTTGTCAATGGTCAGAACCTGGGAAGATACTGGAAAATTGGACCTCAGGAGACGCTTTACCTTCCTGGGCCCTGGCTCCGGAGAGGGGGCAACGAGGTGAGAGGCTCTGCTGGGGTTGCTCTTTGCCTGTGGGTGCTGTTAAAGATCCATGTCCCAAAGAGCAGACATGCACAGGACATTAATGACCCTTCCTGAGCTGGAAGCAGAGCAATGGAGGGGAAGGAGCTGTGAGAGTTAGGGAAGGTGCTGCCCTCTGACTCTGGCTCTGACAGCCATGAAGGGGGACAGGGATGGCAGTGAACTTCAGAGCTCTGCCTCGAGTTGGGAATCCAAACCACCCTGACATGATGCTGCTTCATTTGTGCCCCACAGAGGCTCAGCCACTGCTCAGGGCTGATCTGTGTAAATGAGGCTTCCTTCCCTGCTGGCAGCACTTGCCTTCTCCTCCTAAAAACACAGAAAGGGGTTTGTCAAAGGGGTTTTGTCTCTCCCTGTGCTGTGCAGATCGTCATCTTCGAGGAGCGCACGGCGGGGCGGATCATCCAGTCCGTGGACATCCCTTACCTCGGCCGGACCCAGTACGTGGACTGAGGAGAGCTGGGTGCCCACCTTTGGCTCCTCCTGAATACTCCTGGTTGCATGTCTGGGGATGTGATGGCTCAGCACTCGGGCACGCTCATCTCCACCAGAGCCAGGTGAAGGATTTGCCCTCTGGCTGCGAGTTCAGAGGAGAGGCYGGGCCCTGGAAGGAGCAGGGCCGTTGTTCCATGGATGGATGGATGCAGCAGCTCATCTCCCTGGACTACTGAGGCTCCCCAGCCCCGATGGCTGCGCATGTTCTGCACCATCTGGTGGATGTGGGGGAGTAAAAAGGTGCTGGAGGCAGGTGAGAGAGAGAGAGAGAGAAAGGATTGAAGCCATCTGAACGGAAAGCTGAGCTCAGCTTTCCAGGGACTTTCCAAATGTCCTCCTGGTTTTTATAATTAGGTAGGGAGAAAATAGTTGGTGAACATGTGAATAATCAGGTGTGGAAAACCATTTTGGTGTGCTCTGAGGCAGATGGTAGCCAGTCTTTCTTCAAAGAGGCCATTATGTGTTCCCCTGTTGGAAGCCAAAGTGGTTGTCAAAGGACTTTTAATTTCAGTTTGTTTTTTTTCCACTAAGTTTTACTATGGAGGTTGTCTCTCTCTCGAAAGGGAAAAAAAAAACCGTTTTAAAAAGTGAAATGTGTTTTCTCCTCTGTCAAATGGATCGTTATGTTTCAGGTAAGGCAGGAATGAGAATTTCCAAGGAGGAAAAAGGAACAAATGAGTCTTCCAATCCTCTCTCCACCCGTGCTCACATTGGGAAGCACCTGAAGATGAAATTCCCCCTTGGAAAAGGAGCAGGGATCAGATTTCAGCTGGGATAGAAGCCAAGTGGGAAAACTCATCCCTGCTTTCCCCTTAAAGCTGCTGTGGGATGTTGAGTCCTGCTTTCTTTTTGCTTTTTGTCCMTCTAAGCAGAAACTGGGGATTTAGGTAAACGTGACATTCTTTTAACTCCCCAGCTCCAAGGCACAGAGGAGCTGCAGCCTCCTTGGGGAGAGGAAGAGATCAAACTCAAACTGTGAATCCTTCAGAACCTCCAAGGATTCGCTGCTTTCTGTGCCAGTARCAGGATTCAGGCTCTGAGAGAAACACCAAACTGTGTCTGGAAGGGAGGTGCAGGGTATTCTGGCTCTTAGAAACCATCATTTTATTTAACAAATTTAAATACAGTTTGTTTAAAACTGAGAACAGACAGTGCAGCTGGAACACGCTCCATCCTGGCCAGGCCTGGGCATGACTATTTCTGCCACCCAGGGCACATCTGGGAAASCTGAAAAGGCCCAGGATCCTGTGACCAGAGCAAATGTGTTCAGGACTCCATCCTTTGCATTTTTCTGAGAGTTATTTCCTTCCAAGGAGGGAAGGTTGGAACCCAGCAGGGACTGGAATTCAGATTAGTGAACCAAAACATGCAGCTCAGAGAGGACAGCAGCTGGAAACTATTTCAATGCTATGAAAACTTGGTAGTCCTTGAAAAAATGTCTCTTTCCACTGTAGGGTTTGCAGACTGAAGGGAACTTAGAAGGCCAGCACAGTAACAGAATAAATCTACTTGAGTGCAGAGTTTTAATCCAAGGTAACAATACCTGTTYCCACAGCAGCATCCAATACTTTCTATCCAAGTAGTGCTTCAGCCATTGCATCTAAAAGGAACATTTTTGTAAAGGCTTCTGTGGCTGGGAACTAAAGAATGCAACTTTTCCCCAATGGTTCTGATATACAGTGGGAGAAAATAACTTACAAAAAATATTTTCCTTTGAAATCTCAAGAAATGCACAMTGTCATTAGTCCGAGGGGAGACTTCTGCACCGTGAAGCCAACGATCGAACCCAGAGCATTTTAATAGTTCTACATGTTAGGGCTAAAAATAACCAAGTCTATTGCAGGATTACATTTTTCCCGCAGTTCAAAGGTAAAATTGTGCTTCAGACCTTTTTGAAAGAATTGGGACAGCGGGGGGGGTGATCAAAGGTTTGACAATGTTTATGAGCGGGGAGGGGATTTTAGGGGTTTTGGCAGGGGAGAAGAGGCCTGTACCTCAGTTTTTATCTCAGCAAGTTTGTCAGTCTCAAACAGAGTCACCCATAGCAGCAGCACCCAAGTGCCACTCCTGCTCTGCTCAGTCTGTGTCTCACTGAGGAGCAAAGCCCAGGATCCCCTTCCCAAGGGTGCTGCTCTCTCCATCAGAGGTGACTGGGAACTGCTCCAGCACTGGCTTTTTATRCCAGGGGGGTGAAAAAGGGGCTGGGGCTGAAGGATACATTCCAGTCAAATGGGAAATGCACTAAAATCACCTCTRAGCATCCATTCCCTAGTTTGAAGCAGTTTTATTTTTGCAGAGTGGAATTTTGCCTTTATGTAGRAGCACCCTGCAGAGAATCCCACACCTACAGCTCACAGGAATCAAATTCGGGCTAAATAGGACCAAATCTGAGTGGATGTTATAGTGTATGGCCCCAACAATCTCGTTAAACCTCATTTCCAATTAYTTCAACATTTTTAGATAACCCCATGCTGGAAACAGGATTCCATCCAGGATCAGGGGAATGAACAGCTCCCTGATCCTGCCCCTCCATCCCACTCTGGGGACATCCCTCAGGGGTTTTATAAGAAAKATGGGACAACCTTTTAGCTGGGATAGGAYRAGGGTTGATGGTTTTAAACTAAAAGAGGATAGATTAGCCATAAGGGTGKTTTTTTATAATGCAGCACTGGCACAGGTTGCCCARAGAGGTGGGAGATGCCCCATCCCTGGGAATATTCAAGGCCAGGAGCAGCCTGGTCCAGCTGAAGRTGTCCCTGCCCATGGYAGGGGGTTGGACTCGATGACCTTTGAAGTCCCTTCCATCCCCCAACTCTGCTGTGATTCTATGAACAGAGAGGAATGTCAGGATGGCCCCCAAACGGTGAAACTGAGGAAGGAAAAGGAGCGGGRATACAGAGAACGGTGATGCTGAACGGGTTTGTTCTGACCTGCCTCGCTTTCCCCCCTCCCCCAAACCCTTCCCTTYTTGTGCAGCGTAACAAACACCGATTAAAGTAGGTTTAGAATTAAGGGCTAAGGTGCCATCTCGGAAGGCAGCCGTCCCCTCCACGGCCGGAGAGCTGCTCAGGCTGGCCATAAGGTTCGTGTGTCTCAGGGAAAACCGGTCCCTCGGGGCAAAACCGGTCCCTCGGGGGCAAAACCAGTCCCCGGGGCCATCAGCCGTGGTTCTCACCCTCTCCTCCCGGTGCTGGCAAGCATCCCCTCCTGACGCAGCCCCGTCCCGCCGGGGCTCCAGCGCAGCCAGCCCGCCGGGCGCTTCTCCCAGACGGAGCATCCGCGCCGGGAGCTCGCAGTCCTGGCGTTTCTGTGCTTTTTTATCTCCACCTCCGGAGCGTCTGCTTGTGCTCCGAGTCCAGGAGGAAGGGCAGGGGATCCGGGGAGTTTATGGATGCGGTGTCGCTTGGTTTCACAAGGCTAAAACTCGTGGAAGTCAGCGGAGGTGCTGGCTCCCGCCTGGCCGGCCGGGTGGATGCTGCGGAGAGGAGCCTTGCGGGCTGTGCGTGAAGAAATCTCCTGCAACAGAGACGAGAGCAGCGTGTGTGTCACCCCTCTGCCTGGCTGCACCCCAAAGCCCTGTCCCACTGCAGATCCCGGGGGCTGGGCTGGGGGAGCAGCGCTGGGACAGCTCTGGAGAGCTCCAGCCCCTCTACAATGCTTTTCCATGGCACAGAGAACGTGGTGGTGCAGGCTCTGTCGTGYTTCCTGCAGGGAATGGGGCATAAGGGAGCTCACTGCTGGTAAAAATTCACCACTGCTGAGCAAATCTACCCCTTCCTGCTCTTGCTTCTCAGAATTCAGGAGCAGCAGCCTCCTCTCCTTCCAGGCCTGGTTCTGCACTCCYGTGAATGGGAGTTGTGCATTTATTTTTTTTGCTCCCCAGGCTGGGTGCAGATACGAGTGAGTAGCTCATCCTTCACTGCTGCAAACCCTCTGCAGAAATACCCAGGGCMTGCACAAATACAAGTCAGCCATCAGCGGGTGTGTTCTTTCCTCCTTTCCACTGGAACGGACACCCCACGCTCTCCTCAGGCAAACCAACACCTCAGGTGGGGTTCAATCCACACCTTCCCATACTCATCACTGCCTCTGTGTGGTTTCAGAGTAGCTATAAATCAAATTAAAAATCCTTTTGCTAATACTGTTTTAGCTTTCCTCAGGTGTTTGCAGGTTTCAATGCTATTCTTTAGTTATATTAGACAGTTAATAATAAGGCAACTTCTGTTAAACTACTCCCTGCATTTCTCCYGCTCAGCTCTCACCAGGTTTTGAGCATTTTATCTTAATCTCTCTTTTTTTGAAGTTAATCTATTTTTAACTCATGGTCTTGAGAAGTTTAGCACTAAGGGAAGGTCAGAGTGGTGAAAAATGGAATGAAAAAGCACTTTTAAAAGAGCTTTTATCTCTTCCCTGCCATTGTGGAGCTTCTCAGCGCTGTTGGAAACATGTGCTCTTACCCGGTGTTGGTCTCCGTTCAGCCACGCACACTCAGATTTCCACATTGGGATCTGTGAATCCTTTCTTGCCCTCGTTCACCAGCACAGGCTTTTCCGTCCTCGTGTGCCAGACTAAAATCTGAAGGAGGCAGCAGGAGTCATTATCTGCACCTCTGCAGCACTCTTAACAAATATTCCTGCACATTAAACCAACAGTGCAATTTAACCATCCGCCCTGGAGCCTAATGGTGCATCCACCGCCCACAGGGGCTTTGCATAAACCTTCCTTTAGGCAGAGCTGCTGCTCTGCAGAGTGCACAGTGCACAGGAATTACCCATTTCTCAGAGTGCTGTCGTGGGACATTACCCTGCTCCTTCCAGCAGTTTTCCAGCAGCTCCTCCAAAGGCTCATCAGCCTCCCAATGGGCTGAGGCAGCTCCCTCCCAGCCAGGGAATCACATCCCTGCTTCCCCACAGAGCCACTCCCKGGCTCTGCCTCTTGGTTATCATCACCTCACACCCTGGGCTGGTGGAGCCACTCGGAGGGGAAATGGAAATTCCTGACGTTCAGGACCAAATTGTGAGGGACCCTCTCTTCCCGTCACCACCCCTGCCTGTGGTTGGAAATGCAAATGGAATTTTTCAGCAGTTCCCTGAAGATCCATTACGGAACAGAAGACACCAGCCTGCCCCCTGAAATCGGGATCACTTATTTTTTCACTTCTAAATTCTTTCCAGAGCCTAAAAAGCCAGGAGAGCATCACGGAGCTGGGAAGGACTTGCTGCTGCTGCTGCTGCAGTGCTGTTGCAGCCTCTGCTGCCTCAGAGCTGCTGATGCAGGAGCTGCTTCCAGAATCCTCCCTTCTTCCCACACACCCTCTCATAACCCAGCATCACCCCACAGACCCCCTCAAACCCCTCTCCCCAATCCCTTGGGAATGCTGGCCCCACACTGTCATCCCCTATTCTGTACCAGGTATTAAAACCCCTCTCCAACTTGCTTAAAACAGAACTGAAGCTCCTCCTAAAAGCTTCCYTCGGTCTTGGCAGCAAAGTTGCACAGAGATCAACATCTGTGGAGGAGAACTGGCAGAATCTGAGGTGGTTGAGTATTTCAGGGGGGCTATTATAGGAAATTGTTTCTACTCGCTGTGCTCAGACGGTTCTGGAAGCTGCTTAAAATACTCTCCCCTCACCAGACTCAATTACACTCATTGCCTTCCCCTAGAACCCGCAGCTTTATCCTCTCCCAGCAGCATTCCTGCTTCCCTTCACCTGTGCCTCGCTGTTTCCCACCTCGTGGGGGTTTCCCTCCGGTTGCCATGGCAATCCCTGCACACCGAATCCCGAAAAAAACCCACTTCCACCCAGAGCCTGCCTTTGTCAAAAACGAGGGCACGTTGTGGTTCTGAAGGATGAACAAAGCCCTTTTCAAAGCCTCCAGGTTCAAGAGCAGCACCTTCCCCCACCTTCCCCAGGAGCTTGTTTGACCAAATTTGTCTCTGATGCGAGCAGTCACCTCCTGCGTSGAGCTTAAATCTCTGCTAATACTGGAGCAGTCCAGACCAACTGCTGGCTGGAGTGGGTCCAAAAATCCATTTCATCACCTCCACAACCACTTCAGAGCCCACTCATCAAAGCCACCCTTGGTTCCAGCCCGGCAATGCTGCAATTACTGCGCTGCTTCCCGGGGAGAAGGGAAACCAAGCGGGGCTCAGGAGCGGCTCARGGCTCTGCAGGGACAGCTCCAGCAGCAGAATGGACAAAGCAGGAGCTGGAGGGATCCTGCAGCCAGTCCTGCTCTCCAGGAGAGCCCTTGGCACTGCTGACAAGCCCTGCTGGTGGCCAGGGACTCGCTCACAGCAGCTCTGACYGCCCTCTCCACGGGCAGAGGGCCACAGCCACACATCAGCAGTGCTTTCCTTCAACTGCATCCCACTTCTGTGCCCTTACAGCCCAATGCCAAAAAAAGACAGATTAAATGAGCTACAATGGAGCCATTTCCAGAGTTTGCAGCTCGATACAGCAGCTTTTACCATTTCTCATGCTGTGCTCTTTAACGTGGGAGGTAGATCACCATTTACAGAAACATTTGCTTTTCCTTTCAGCCAGCACTTGTTTTTTTTCAACAAGCAACGTGTTTTATGCCTCAGGGAAGCTCTGGCTCTCTCACAAGAGACCAAACAGCGAGGGGGACCAAGTATCTGACTTTTTCTGAGCTGTGGTTTCATACAGGTCATCTGAGGGATGCCCTTTTTAAAATGCTGCTGCAAAACCCTTCCATTTCCAGCCCTGCCATTCRGAGTCACGGGACTCAAAACAGATCTGTGAGATTGCAAGGAGTCATCTCCACAGCAGAACAATTCACTGTCCCCCAACAGAAGATGAAAAAAGCAAACAGGAGAGTTTGACCAGCACTGGGAGGGTTTCCAGCACACAGACCCTTCCAAGAGAGATTCAGGAATTGTTGTTTGAAACAGAGACCACAGAATGGGAAGGGAAAGARACACCAGGCTCAAAGGGCAGGTTTGCTCCTCATTGTCCAGACCGGCAACAAAATATTCCCCTGATGTGGCATTAATTGTGGCCACAGCCCCCTGTCTCTTCTTTAAAGATCCCTGGTTGAGCTCACTGGTGCCTTGCCTTGTCCCCCACTGCCATCAGCCTCATGGAAATGGCAAATCCCAGACCTCTCTCCTGTGCCAATGGATTGAAGAGAGGATGGATTGGTTTGGAGCTGTGGGGGAATGCACAAACAGCAGAACTCCAAATACACAGAACTCTTGCAAAGCCTTGTTTCCTCACAGCTCCAGGATAAACCAATCCTTCCCTCCTGATTAGGAGGGATAGCTTTCACCTCAGTAATTAATACCAACTTTCTTTACTTTCTCCTTCATTTTGGGCARTTCCCAAATCCAAGAAAATAAGCAGGATATGTGTCCTTTGCCCTAATCTTGAGCTTTTTGCAGGAGTGTGTGTTTGTGGGCTGAATTCTGATCAATATTACCAGCAGCACTGCACGCAGGGAAGGCAGCATTTTTGGAGAACAGATGTCTGTGCTTATCTTACACATTCCTCTGATCCCCCCTTAATGACTCCCTCTAAGCACATCATCATTTTTAATGTAAATCTCCCTGCAAAGCAGGTGTGGGGTTGTGTTTAACAGAATCAGAGCATGACAAGYGCTGGGAGCACAGGAGAGACAGAGAGAGGAGCTTGGAGTTTGATCTCAGGGTGAGAGGACTCCAAACCAGAGCTGCTCCTTCTCTGCTGCTGCTCCTGCTGGACTGGGTGAGTGAAAGCAGGAATGGAGCCCCACAGGGATGGAAAGGCAGAGCCTAACCTGCAGAGCTGCAGTCGGAGATCTCCAGGAGCACATTCAGCTCACAAGGATCCCTGTGAGCTCTCCCCAGCCCAGACAAGAAAAGAATCCCAGTCTGCTCCCAACGCTGGGCAGCAATCCCTGCTCCTCCTACTCTCCTGGGTCACAGCCCTGTCTGTCTCCATCACTGTTTGTTTCCTCCTGCCTGGAAACAACATTTTCCTTCCTACCTATCCTCCAGGACTGTCATTTTCCACCCCCAGCCCTTCTTTCCAGCAGTTATTTATTTACAGGAGGGACAATCCACCAGAGACCGAACAACTGGCTACAGAATAAACACTCCTAATCCTCTGAGCACCAGGCTAAAAGCAGCCTGTCCATCTCTCCTGGCTGTTGGAAACGCATTTATTTCCTCACAGAGCCCAGGAACAGGGATCTAATTTTAATCCAATCTCTTTCCCCACCCTTGGGAGGCTGGYTGTGGTATTTGTGCCAGTGCTGGACAGCCATCACCACAGACATGGGGATTCAAAAAGGAGGCACAGCAGGTGTCAGATAAAACCCAAATTTGCTCCTTCCCCATGGCTCCTCTCTCCTTATTCCTGGGTTCCTTGCAAAGAACATTGAGATCCCTGTTTTTTTCCATGACTGGGGCATGTGAAGCAATGCACATGGAAATCAGGCAAAGGGTATTTGGTCACATTCTTTCCTATCCCAAAAAGGGACAGAGATCCAGATCCAACACTGGGGCTGCTGGCAGCAACAACTTATTTGCAATAAAAGGATAATCCTGTTGGGGTAATTAGGCAATAAAGGCTCTCTAGATCAGACTGGCTGATGTGAGGGTGCTACATGGGGGTCTCTGCTCTCAGAGGGACCCCTACCACTCCTCCAGTGTTCAGGGAACCCACCCAGAAAGCCTCAAAGCCCTTGTCAAGGTTGTGATTGATGCCTGTCACACTAACCAGCTTTGTCTCTGGTGTCTCCCACGCTCCCCTGTCATCCCAGACAGATCCATCTCTCATCTCAGACCAGAAATTCCTCAGGAGAAGAGCCATCAGTGTGCTCTGGGTTATTTAGCACACGGGGTCCTGCTCCAGGACCCGGCAATGTGCACAGTCAGTATTTATCAGTCAGCTGACAGCAGTGATTCCCCCAAATGGAGCTTCTAGGAAGCCTCCTGGAGCTCAGAGCAACATCCCAGGCATTAAATATTTCTATATTATCCTGACACAGAAATATCCAGGTTTTTGCGGGCACCTACAGCACAGATATTGCACAGATCTCAGGAGGGAGAAGACAACTCGGCAGCGAGGCAGTGACTGTGGGAGCAGCCAGGAAAGGCTGGTGTGGCTGTTCCTCCTTTGTTACAGCTCACATGGCCCCCAGCATTCAAACCCCCCCAGAAATTCACATTACATAACTGATGTGCATTTCACCCCTGGAATTCCCTGCTCCAGGGCACCAACGAGGCCACAGGGAAGCCCACCTTGACAATAATATTTTTTAGAGGTCATGTAAGGAAAAACAACAGTTACAGGGGAGAGAAGACTCCGTGTTTCAAGGCTTATGGCAACTATTAGAAGCCAAAACAGATAAACGCCCTCCACACATTTTAGTGCATAAATCACCCATTCCCAGCTTCCTTGAAATGGGGAATGCAGAGGAGCAGCCTGGAGAAGACTGAGGGGCCGTGTCATAGATGTCACAGCTTCCAKACAAGGGGCAGCGGAGGGGCAGGCAGTGGTCACTATGGTGGGCAGGGACAGGGAAGGTTTAGTTTGGAGATCAGGAAAAGGTTGGAGTGGCTGGAGCTGGGCCAAGGCAGGGTTAGGTTGGATATGAGGGAAAGGTTGGAGTGGCTGGAGCTGGGCCAGGGCAGGGTTAGGTTGGATATGAGGGAAAGGTTCTTCTGTCCCCAGAGGGTGCAGGGAATGGTCCCGACCCTGAAGGTGCCAGAGCTCCAGGAACATTGGGACAGCGCTGCCAGGGATGCACAGGAAGGGAAATTGTTGTGGCACTGGATGATCCTTCCCCCTCAGGATATTCCATGATTCCAAGGAATGACAGAACAACAGGGCTGGCTGCGATCTCTCCCCCCAGCCCCTCAGAACCCCCACACGAGGAGGGGCCGTACCTTGGTGCAGTTGGCAGCCTTGGGCTCGAGGTCGCTGAGGGTGACGAGCTCGCGGAGCAGGCTGCTCTCCTGGTAGCCGCCCTTGACGCCGCGCAGTTTGAAGTAGGCCTGGGAGCGCTGCAGGATGAGGCGCAGGTTGACGGCGAACCCCGCCATGTCGATGGCGAAGGGGCGGTGAGGGTCGAACACGGTTTTCCAGCCGTACACCTTCCCCGCCGCGTTCACCTTGGGCGCCTCGTAGCGCAGCCCGCCCACAAAGGCCACCGGCCACACCGACACCTTCCTGGTGCTGCGCATCTGTGGGGGCACACCAGGCCTTAGGATTTTAAATTCTACATTTTTAAATTTTAGATTTTATATTTCCATGTCTCTGGAACCCTGGGATTCTCCAGTGTTTAACTCCAGACTGCACAGACAGTGCTGAGCTCCTGCTCTCCCATTTTTACACAAAACAATTCCTCTGCAGCCCCAAACTCAAGGACACCTCCCTGGGCCAGGCCCCAAGAGATGGAAACAACAGAGAATTGGGGGAGCCAAGTTGGAGTTTTTGACTGCATTGGCTGCAGCTGCAATTGGAGGATTCAGCAAATCCCGATGTGCAAATGGACAAAAGTGAGAAAGGGTGAAAAAGCCGTGAGCCATTGTCCATTGTGGGTGCAGCCCCTGGCTGGGCTGGGACTGCCCTGAATGGCCCTGAAGGCCCTGCAGTAACAGAACTGCTTTGGATTCTCTCAATTCTGTCTGGACTCTGGTTTAGGTAACCCCAATAAGTCATCACACAGACTGGGCCATGGTGGCCACATGGATCCTCCCCCTCTTGCTCCAACCAGCCCCTGGCAGAACTTTTCCTGGGATCCAGTGTCCCTGAACAATGTCCAACTGGAACCAACAACCTGCCCCCCAGCCCAAGCAGTTCCACCCCAAGGCAGTGCCTCAGCAGCTCAGAYCTCACCACTCACCTGGAAAAGTCACCTCCACTCCCCCCAGAGCTGGAGAAGGGAAGTGATTTGGGAAGTGCCAGCTAACAACAGCAGTGGCCATGAACCAAGCAGGGCTCGGCATTGAAAACAAAGCTGCCAGGAAGGAAACACCTCTGGGATTTATGAGTGGGGTTTTTGTCCAGCTGTCGGGATCCACATGAGCAAATCA